GCTGGTTGGTTTGCTGCCTGTTCTAATCAAAAGGCTGCATGTTTTCCATTCCACTGTCATTGCCCATTCTTACTGTGAACACATGGCTGTGGTCAAGCTGTCTGCAGAAGATGTCCGAATCAACAAAACATGTGGTCTTTTTGTGGGTTTTACCATTCTGGGATTTGACATGATTTTTATCATTGTATCCTATGTCTTGATTTTTCAGGCTGTGTTTCGTCTACAGCAAAAGGAGGCACGGCTCAAAGCATTTAATACATGCACAGCTCATATTTTTGTCTTTCTTGAGTTTTATATTCTTGCCTTTTTCTCTTTCTTTAGTCACCGTTTTGGACATGTTGCTCCCTCGACCCACATTCTTCTATCGACCATCTACCTCCTTGTGCCACCTGCACTCAACCCTATTGTCTATGGTGTAAAAAATATGGTAATTCGTAAGCGTGTGGCACAGATTTTTCTTGTAAATTGTGGATCCAGGATTAACACATCAATACTTAAAACTTAATTTTTATCACTTTTGAAAAGTTACAAATGTACGAATGTCATCATTAAATTTGAAGTTTTATAGTCTTAAAACGCAGTTATAGTCTAGTCAAAAACAATAAAATGTGGTTCATTATCCTTCTGGATTGAACATTTGAAACTTCCTTTTCTCACAATTGAATAGTTGTTATTTTCTTCTCTTTCATAATCGCCCTGGGCAAGGCTTCTCCTACTATGTTGAATAGAATGGTGAAAGCGGGCACCCTTGTCTTGCTCTAGATCATAAAGGAAATGCTTTCAGCTTTTCTCCATCTAATAATATAATGTTAACTATGATACATGGATTTCATTATATTGAAGTACTTTTCTTTTTTATCTAATTTGTTGAGAGTCTTTATCAGAAAAAAATAATTGTATTAGAATAACTTTGTAGTAGGACCAGCAGTTAGCATAATGGCTATGTCGCTGGACTCCCACGTAGTGACTTAAACTCACACCAGGCTTATGTGCGTGCGTGCCCAAGATCTCGAAAGGAGAATGGAGGAAAAGGGTTTGTGGCATGGCCATCTCCCCTAGGGGGTGATTTCTCGCTTTCTGTTTCTCTCTCTGTCTGTCTGGCGAGCGCACGTGCCCTCTAGCAAAAACCTCTCCAAAAAAAAAAAAAAAAAGAATACCTTTGTATTTAGAATATCAATATTGTAATTGAAATATTCTTTGAGATTCTGTGAAACTTATTACCTAGAGATGTCCAGTACAATATTCTTTTTTTTTTTTGAGAGGTTTTCGCTATAGGGCGTGTGCGCTCTCCAGACAGAGAGAGACATAGAGACAGAAAGCGAGAAATTACCCCCCAAGGGGGATGGTCACGCCACAATCCCTTCTCCTCCATTCTCCTCTCGGGATCTTGGGCGTGCACGCACATGCACCTGGTGTGAGTTTTTAAGTCACCGGGTCTGGGATGTGACCCGTGGTCGACTACGTGGGAGTCCAGCGACATAGCCATTACGCTAACTGTTGGTTCCCTGTCCAGTACAATATTCTGATAATATAGTCATTTAGAGTATAAGTACTCACTGTAAAACTTCATAAATAAGGCCGTTGAGGTTTGCAAAATGGTCTCAAAGAGAAAGAAAACAGAAAATGAAACATTTTCTAATTGACTTAAGCAATGTGTTAAATCTGCAGTATTTTGCTACTAAGCAGATTAAAATGTCACTTGTTTGGGGCTACAACATGCTAGAATGATTTCAAATTATTTTAGAATTAGTATTGGTGATAGTAACAGTGATATGAGTAGCTATGGTTATAAAAGTTGCATCTGTAGTAAAATTATATTTCCAAAGATAAACAGTACTGTTTTGTTTCCTTAGACTATAAATCTAGAACAGATGAATGGATAGAAAAACTGTGGCAAATATACTCAATGGAATACTACTCAGTCATAAAAAAACAACAAAACCCTGGCTTTTGACAGGAAGTGGATGAATATGGAAGACTTACTGCTGAGTGAAGCAATCCAGGCTATGAAGGAGAGGCATTGTATGTCCCCACTTAATATATGCTGAGTGTCCACACTCTATGACTGAAACTAATTGACTGAAGGATATAGAAACATAGCATATAGATGTAAATACCAGATATAGTGTGTGTGCAAGAGGAGGGTCTGAGGAAGGACATTTAGAAGAAAAATAGGGAGGCAAAGTATTAATGGCACAAAAAGATGTGATATTATCTGTTGAAGATATTTTGTAGTTTTATCAACTGTACTACGGAGAAATGTTCACCTGTTGAAATATCCATTTTGTAAGACAAATAATACTGGTATAAAAGAATACGAAATGAACAATAAATAAATAAATAAATAAATAAATAAATAAAATAATAATAGGCCGGAAGGTTGACCAAATTACTGTCTTCTGCTTTTCCAGTTTATAAATTCTCCTTTTTTCAAATTTTCTTTTCTCACACTTCTGAAGATCTTAGATCATGCTCTACAATGGAACCATATTTTCATATTTCCTAGTTCTCATTCCTTGGAAACAACTTCTCATGATGAAACTGAAAGCTTCCTATCCTTGTAGCTTTATGGCATGATATCTTTCTCTTGCAAAGTAAGATTGAGTCTCTGAAGTGTGATGACCTCTCTAGAGATCAGATTTTGTAACATCACCCTGGGGGATCAGCTCAGATTCTAAAACGGGTGATCAGCTCAGATTATAGGAAAGATCGAGAAAAGGAACAGATAAAAGCATGATGAAAAATACTTAGCTATTAATATCTCTCTATATCCAAAATCTGGCAGAAAAATCTGTTTCATCCATTTTCATTACATTCCAATTGTTTCTCTGTTTATTTGGGTGAGTGTCTTTAATGTGCTGGGATCTGTGTACAATTAAGTGTTTCTAATTGCAGCAAATTTTAAGAGAAAGTGGAAAGGATAAATAATTAAATGGTCTTCATCCTGAATCCTATATTTACAAACTTTTCTTTGGCATGACCATCATTTTTCTCTAAATCCAGATTTTGCTTTTATTTGTTATTTTTTAGCCACTAATATGAGAGATAGACTAGACTGATGCTATTTGGAGATGGAAGTGATGCAAAGGTAATTTAGTGCCATCTTTTCCATTGCATGTGAGGTAAACTTAACAGACATGCCACAATTAATTAGTAGCACGAGTCAAATGAGGATAAAAATTTCAGAGTCCTCTTCCAATTTTAACCCAAAAAATAGTTTTATCATGGCTTCATTCATTTAAAGATAAAAAATATTCTGTAATTTATGTCTCTAGTTTCCGTGGAGACTAGCTGCCAGACATTGAGTACTTACTCACTTTTGCAATTTCTATTGTGACTTTTATATGCAATCTTGTTTAATCCTCACAATAATCTAAGTAATTAAGAAAATCACCCTCCCACTTATAGTGAGGCAACTAGTAGAACCCTCAATAGAAGATATTTTATCATTTTAAATTCATATTCCACTACTTTACATATTATGCTATATAGAAGACAATCAATGTGATGAATGCATTATCTTCTTTTATGTTGGGATTGGAGAAAATTTTAATTTTTATCCTTAGAATCCCAGGAAATTTATAAATGATTATCTAGGATACATTGTTTGTTTTTTTTTTTAACTGCTTGTGACACGTTATTATTTTTTTCAGTAATTACTTTTAGGGAATCTACCACTTTCTCCACCTAACTACATTTCATATAGAGTTACAAAAATTTCTAGTTGTCTTATTCTGTATCTCTTTATTTTCTTGGCCATAGCCTAGTGATATTTCTGCATCAGAAGCTTTTATAACATGATCTCTCCTACCCTCCATGGACTATTAAAATATTTTATATTTTCTTACATTGGAGACTTATATATACTTTTACAGAAATATCATTTCTAGTCTCCTAAAAAAATGTATAAAATCTCAAAGTGATCCTTCCAATTTGGTCAATATATTTGTCTATAACAAAACCATAAAGAAGAGAGTATAAAACTTCTGTATGATTCTAAGTTTATAGAATGGTTAATAAAAAAAAAATCAAAGACCATGTAAGATTGCCTTAACCTTGAGTTAGTGGTTTGCCAAAGAAAGAGGATAAGCAAATTATAAAATGATCAGACATTTGGGGTGAATGTGAAGTTGGACAATGTATTAAAAAATGTTAAGAACTTTCATTGCTGACTAGTAACAATAAATTCAACTGATGTCTTCCCTCTTTCAACTTGCTGTCTTCTGTTAGGTCTGAGAATAGTTATATCACCTTCTACTCCATTCTGCTTTTATATCATTAAAAACTGATGAACCAGAATCAATCCTGTGAACCAAACATACTCAGGCACTACTTACAACAGTAATTCCTACTTATCGACACTGAAAACCTCCTTAACTGGCTTGCACAAAGGTAATTCAGCTATCTGTTGAATGATCAAACCTCTTTACCTCGTCATATTGAGAATCAATTCCTAAGATGTGAGAGGAAGTATTTTACTCCCCAAAGCAGACAAAATGTGAAGACTGGGAGAGGCTAATACTACCTCAAGATTCTGAGCTATGGGCTAATTGGAGGGCTATGGGATTGAGAATCTATACTATGCCTTTGAATGTCATAGGGGAAGGTCAATTAATCTGAAATATATCTGGAGTTAGAAGTTGGACATTGTTGAAAAAGCTAATGCTGCCATCTGTGGCCCAATCTGAGAAGACACTGAAAACTAGCAGAAACTGTAACTCTTAGAATCATAGTTTCTAATTCTATCATTTCTAAGTGATGAAGACTGGGTCATATTTCTTGTTCATAAATACCCATATTGGCTTTGTGAAATGATATCCAACAGCTCTATTATGATACTGCCCTAACTTTATGTCCAAAGATTCAGTCACATGGTTTTATTTTCCATGATTTTCATATTCTGAGAGGAAATATGAGGAGAGCACAGTCCTTTCTACCCATCTAGATTTTTGCTCTGAATGATATCAAGACCAAGAGAGAATAAAGGACTCACAAGCCTCATGGGAGCCACCAACATGTCATATCTGAACCCAAGAACAGTGATTCTGCTTGGAATCCCAGGGCTAGAGCATGTGCAGTTTTGGATTGGATTTCCCTTTTTTGGAGTGTGCCTGGTGGCTCTGCTGGGGAACATCTTCTTGCTAATTGTTATCCCTATGGAACGCAGTCTACACCAACCGATGTACATCTTCTTGGCAGTATTGGCTGCCACTGACCTAAGTCTCTGTGCAGCCATTGCTCCTAAGATGTTGGCCATCTTCTGGTTTGGCTCTTGCTCCATGGCTTTTGATGCCTGCCTTACCCAGCTCTTCTTCATCCATGCATTGCAGGGTGTAGAGTCTGGCATCCTGTTGGCCATGGCCTTTGACCGCTATGTCGCCATCTGTAATCCTTTGAGGTATACATCCATTCTCACACCTCTCTCTCTAGTGTGGGTGATGCTGATAGTAGCAATCCGGGCAACTGTACTTGTGGGTATTTTACCCATTCTACTCAAGCGGCTGCAACTATTCCAATCTGTGGTTATTGTTCATTCTTACTGTGAGCACATGGCCGTGGTTAAGTTGGCTGCAGAAGATGTCCATATTAACAAGTCATATGGGCTCTTTGTGGCTTTTGCAATTCTAGGTTTTGACATGATCTTTGTCTTCATCTCCTATATTCTAATTTTTCAGGCTGTTTTCCGTCTTCCCCAGAAAGAGGCACGACTCAAAGCATTCAATACATGTACAGCTCATATTGTTGTCTTTATGGAGTTTTACATTCTTGCCTTTTTTTCCTTCCTCAGCCACCGTTTTGGTCATGTATCCCCCTATGCCCACATCTTCCTGTCTACCATCTATCTGCTTGTGCCCCCTGCCCTTAACCCTATTGTTTATGGTGTGAAGACCAAAGAGATCCGGAAGCGGGTTGCACAGATTTTTATTCTGAAGATTGACTCTCAGCAATGATTTAACAAGTAATATGCCAAAAAACAAATACAAATTTACTTGTTTTAAATGGAAATTACTTGTGTTGTTTGTGCTGTTTTGATGATATTTTACAATCATCTGCCTTAAAAAATTTTTATTCTCCAAAGAAAGAACAGTCTTAATATGAGATAAACTTGGGTAAAAAGTATGTATATATGTCTCAAATTCTTTTCTTTTATTTTCTATTATTTTTATTGGCCTTTCATTTTTCTACTCACATTTCTTCTCCTTTCCTTCCTTCCTTGTTCCTAAATCTATATGTCTTTCTTCAATACCCAGAGGCAGCTTGCCCATTAGTTCATCATGTTCCATGATTTCAAAGGTTCAGAGTATGGTGATGGTATGAGAATGCTGAGTAAATTTGATTTAATGGCATCTAGAGTATGGTAAGATAAAAACAGGTTTAGTTTTATCTTTGAGAAATAAATTATCTAAAATTTAGAAGAAATCTGCGAAGATGTTTTTGAAGAACTCACAGCAAATGTGTGTGTGTGTGTGTGTATGTCTGTGTGTGTGTTTATTTTTAGAGTTATTTTTGTTATAGGGTGCATGCCCTTGCTGGAGAGATAGGGAGAGACAGAGACACAGAAAGCAAGAACTCACTCTTCTGGGGGAGATGGCCATGCTGCAATCCCTTTTCCTCCATTCTCCCCTTGGAACTTTTTTTTTTTGCACACACACACACACACACAAACACACACACACTCTACACATGACTGGATGCCTGGCATGAGTTTTTTTTGTTGTTGTTTGTTTTTTTAAAGGTTTTTGCTATAGGGCGTGTGTGCTTGCCAGAAAGATAGAGACAGAGAGACAGAAAGCAAGAAATCATCCCACCATCCCCTGGGGCGGATGGTCATGCTGCAATCCCTTCTCCTCCATTCTCCCCTTGGGATAGTGGGTATGCACACACATGCGCCCGGCTTGAATTTAAGCCACTTGGTCCAGTTGATTATGTGGGAGTCCAGTGATGGAGCCATTATGCCAATTGCAGGTCCCTGTCATGAATTTTAAGTCACTGGGTCAGGAACTCAAACCACGGGACTCAAACTACACGCACATCTATTGACATACCCATTATGCCATCTGTTGGTCCCAGCAAATGTGATATTTAAATAACAAGTTTTACTTTAGATAGTGAAATACTGTTTCCCACAATTTCAATTCAGCTTTGAAAGCACTGATGGTATGTAAAACTCATGTAGCTATGGATAATATATGCAGGTATGTGTGAATTTTACTTTCTTGAGCATTGAAAAGACAAGCAGGTTCTTCTTTGTCTTTGTAAGCAATCAAAAAGAAATATTAAAATGTCTGCAGTAGAGCGTTATGCATTCATACCCTACTTGCTACTCAGATTTATTTAACTGCACAAATATGGTCTTTTTACTGGGTAAGGGCACAATTCAACTCTTCGGCTTTGCCATTGGCTGGTACTGCCTGTGATGGTCCTGGAAGAAGCCCATTCTCCCTGTGCAGTGCTGCAACTTACTGTAAACTTATTTTTTGCTAAAAAATCTTTAAGAAATACATTGAAAAACTTCGATATTTAGTCTATTACATTTATCAAGTACTGTGATATGGGACGCATGACAGTACCTTTTCTCCTTTCTTATCCTTTCAGCTCAGAAGATTCACAAGATAGTGGATAATAAATAACCCAAATGTTGAAGTTTAGTCATATCCATTTTAATTCTCCTTTTCATGTCAGATCCTTTTTTCCAGATCCACTATATTTCGAGAGCATCTTCACCCTACGTGAATACCAATAATCTGAATTTAATTAATCCCTCCTTTAATTGTTATTTAGTGTAAGAAATTTAAGTTAAAGTTTACGTTTTAGTTGTCTCCATTTAGAAACAGATTGTAACAAGAGGATATTCTATAAAGAGGTCTTACAAAAGCAAACCTAAGAATTGTAGTATAATGGTAAATTTGGGAACTGATATGAGGGGAAATAAAAAAAAGCAAGAGCAAAACAAAACTTCTGTGAAGGGAGCAAGAAAGACAGTGAAAAAAAGAAAGCCAATTTAATGTGTATGAATGAACAAGTTACTGCTATGGATTGTCAGAGTTCTTCCCTGCTAGCTGGAAAAACTGTAAGAAACGTATCTCCAAATTATCTCAGTGAGTGAGGGGCTAGAAATACGAAATATTTTCTTTTTAGTTATTTATTAATCCTAATCTCTTATTGCTAGATGGTAAATCTTGGGATATTATCATATTTTTAATACTTCTCACAGATTCTACTCATGAACAGAGCATACACCCCAATTCAGAGGAAGATTTAGACCAAAGAAAAAGTGTTTTATTAAGAAAACTTGTAAACAATAGGTAGGCAAGATAAGCTATATTCTTTCATGTTCTTTCATGAACTCATAAAGAGGAAGATGCTATTGGATGCATCATGAGCTGTGTTTGAGGGAAAGAATCTCCATTCTCTGTGAAATCTGCTTTGTAAGAGATAAATGCTTTGGAAATGCTGTTTCTATAAACATATAAACAACAGGAGACACCAACTTTCCAGTATGTAGTGACTGCAGGCCACCTGGCCCATTAGAAGGCAGAGTTATGGTACAGGTTTCTTTCTCTATTGGAAGATAAGAAGCATCCTTAATTTCTCAGAGAGAAGTGACAGTACCCACAAGATCATCATTTGTGTAATCCTGCCTCTCTGCACCAGAAATACTAAGACATTAGATTGAATTCTAATTCTAGATTACATTCTTTTTGTAATAAAATTGTTTTATATATTTTGTGTGATTGCTATGCCATCAATAGCCTTTTAAGAGAAAAGTTTCCAGTATTTTTGTCACATTCTGTTTATGAACAGAGCATACTCCGAAAGCCAGAGGAAAATCTTAGGAAAAAAAAAAGTGTTTTATTAAGGAATGTGTAAACAATAGATAGTCAAGAGAAGGATAGCCCAAAGGAGTTACAGTTTAAAATAATAAAATCTGTCATTAAATGAAGGAATGAAGGAGTGGAATATACTAGTGGAGGTCATTTTCAAAATTTCAACCTTTCTGCTATGGTCTCTTCTACATCAAAAAAAAAAAAAAAAGATAAAGATAAAAGATCTATTCACCTGTGTATCTATTTCTCTGTTTATGCTCTGTATTTTAGCTTAGTACCTGACTCATATAGATATCAGATAGTATGGAAGTCTCTCAAAGATTAAAATGACATTCATGCAGTTCCTATTATCAAGAAACTCTATCAAGGGAAAAATATTGTGAAAAATTAAAAATATGGATATTGGGGTCAGAGAAATCTAGACTTGACTTTTGACTTGGTTACTAGATGTGTACTATTAAAAGTTAATTAAAAATATTTAAATGACCTGAGTCTAGTTTTCTTCATTTTATATGGGAATAATAACAACTGATTTAAAGGATATTTTTAAGAACATAACATCTAAAACACAAACGCATACAAAAAAAAACAAGGAAATTTTTGGAGGTGGGAAAGATGTACATTTATTGTGGTGAGAGATATATGCATATGCCCAAATTAATTGAAATGCATACATTAAATATGTGCAATTTTTATAGAAATTATATCTCAAGGAATGTTAAAAAATGCATTTTTTTTAGAAAACTTTCCAGAGGGCATGTGTGCTGGCTGGAATGAGTCAGAGAGAGAGAGAAAGAAAGCAAGAAAGTACCATCATGGGGCATGGTCCCCCTGCAATCTCTGTTCCATTTCTCCCTTTTTTTTTGAGATTTGGACATGAACATACATGTGTCTGGTATGTTTCCCCAGCAACAGGACTTGAGATCCGGACTTCAAGACTGGCCTTATGGGATCCAGTCACCTCAACTACCAGACCACAGGTTGGCCCATAAGATGCATATTAATCATAGCCTATGATATTGAAGTGCTTAGAAAGATTCTCATCATCATTGCTAAAGTTGTTAATAATAACAATAAAAACAAGAATAAAAAGGTGTAATATAAAACAAAGGAGTAATTATTATGACAGTTACCTGAGGAAACAGTTAACAGAAAGCGCAGATGCATTGGTTGTATATTCTTTGCTACTTCCATTGTTTAAAGTGAAGTGTTTGGTAGAAGAGCTTTCCATTTTGAAACTGGTATTCCCTTCCTAGTCCTTTAAATACAAACTTTTTGTTAGGAATTAAAGTAAAAATATGTATTTTAAAAGGATGTAAGTTTAGAGCAAAACGAAATAAAAATATTTGACCTGTGAACACTATTCTTGTTTAAATTTATATTTTTAAAAAAGACTGAAGTTAAGGACCAGAAGTTGGCATAATGGCTATGTCGTTGGAGTCTCATGTAATTGACTGTGGTTCAAGTCCCAGACCTGGTGGCTTAAACTCACACTGGGCACATATGCGTGCATGCCCAAGATCCCAACAGGAGAATGGAGGAGAAAGGATTGTGGCGTAGCCATCCCCCTTGGGGGGTGATTTCTTGCTTTCCAACTCTCTGTCTCTTTGCGGAGCTCATATGCCCTATGGCAAAAACTGCCCCCCCCCAAAAAAAAAAAGAAAACTGAAGTTAAATCCTGTAAAAAATTTTAACGTGTGCTCATGCCTTCACAATCATACAATACTATATGTGAACAGGTGGATGTTCACATACCCATACCTACATACCTGTTTTTCTTTACAAGCAAAACAGTCAAAGTTGACTGGATTTATACTTACACTGTGATTTATTAAGAATAAAGAACCTAAAAAGGCAGAATGGAATCAAGTCATGCAATACCTTGAATGTCATGTTATGAAGTTAAAACTCTACTGCTGAATATTTTCAATAAAATAAATGAGATATTGGAGAATGTTGCAGTGGGTTTTTTTAAAGAATTATTTTATTTAACTGTATTTACTTATTTATTTATTTATGTTAATTTGACCAGAGAGGAAGGGAGAGAGAGAGAAAGTGAGAAAAGAAGCCACCAAGTCTGGGACTTGAACTGCATTCGACCATGTGGGAGTCCAGCGCCCTTAACCACCACATCATCTGCTGGCTCCTGAGACTGTTGCAGTGTAAACAATAAATTTGAATAGGAAGCAAATTAGAGATAGGGACATTTGTTAGAAGAATTTTAAAGTACAGATATACATTCAAGTGATCAAAGACTGTGGTAAAATCAGATAGTCAAAGACTAGCAAGTGGTGAAGCAGTTAAGATGACTGGATCTTACACGGTTGACTATACTGTTCAAGTCTTGGACCCTATAGCTTGAAAATCGTGCTGGGCATGCAGTCATGCCCAAAATCCAGACAGGAAAGTAATTTTTCACTTTCTCTCTCTCTCTCTCTCTCCATATATATATATATATACATAAAATCTCTCCAGTGAATGCACGTACCCTATAGCAAATTAACCAGAAAAAGAAAAAAAAAGAAATGTGCTGGAAAATCTTGGTTATCAATTGGATGAAAGATGACAATAAAACTAAATAATTTAAATGTTTTTTTTTAATTTTAGGAATTAATTAAATTAATTAATTAATTAATATTTGCCCAGAGAAGGACAGAGTCAGAGAGAGAGAGAGAGATGGAGAGAGAAAGTGAGAAATCAGGTCACCAGGTCTGGGACTTGAACCTTGGTTAGCCATATGGGAGTCCAGTATGCTTAATAATCACACCACCTGCCAGTCTAAATCTAAATTATTTAAATTGAATTTAAATGTTTTAAATTGAATTTAACTCAAACAAAATGGGTAAAAATAGGAAATACTGAAGGATGATACAGTTGTTAAGGTGATTAAGAGTTTAGTTTGTGTACACTACCACTATAGCATTTTTATCTAGCTGCACAATATTATACAGCAGATTTATATGTTCAAAGGGTAAACCTCATATTTAATATTCTTACCACAATAAAATGAAATAAAAGAGTTTAGTTAGAAAACTGCTTAAAGTACGTATGAAAAAGTAGTTATAATTTGCTTTCTGAAGCATAGAAACATAATTCATGCTTTAAAGTTTAGATTTAGATATCAAATTCATAAGTATATATGAAGTCAAGTAAGTGGTGAGAAAAAAGTAAAGCTAGGGAAAATGAACGTATTTAGGACTGGTTTATTTGTTTTCATTTATAACATTTCTACCACAGGTACAATCGATTGTACATTATAAAGATATTTTTCCCTTTTAAACCCTTTTCAAAGGAGAAAGAAAATGCGTCGCTCACTTACACACTCACATATATTTATTTATATTTATTTCCATTAGGATTATTATCTTTGATAGAGTATTTTGTGTTGGTAAAACATAGATATATAGAAAGTAAAATTAAATGAAAAAATTTTTGGATAATTGATTTCTGCCTATCCATCTTGCAAATATACAATTAAATTGCATTTTTACCTCATTTGAAAAATGTGTTTCCAATTTAGGTAAGGATGTGTAATTAGATAAACAATAAAATTGACAATATCATGTATTCCTATTTTCTCACTAGTATACACATTGAGAAGGGTTTATGTTAGGAGTGTGCATAATATTAATAACTGCATCCTTACTTACAAAGCATGGCCCAATTTCATCCCAAAACTGACTGAATCCTTCACTTATCTTAGTTACTATTTCCCATGAAGCCCCAGATCTGGCAGGAATTTTCTCTACCTCCAATCTATCATGATTTCAAGTTCCAAATCTCCAGATCTCCACCTCACCATGGTTATCAACCTCAGTCTCTTTGACAGTGGAGAATCCGCAGCACCCGCTCCCTCATTTGCTTGGTCCGGGCACCATAAATAAGAGGATTAACCATGGGAGGCACCAGGAAGTAGAGATTGTCAAAGATGATCTGGAAATGGGGAGCCAAATGGTACCCTAAAATTTGGGCCAGGACAGAGAAGACAACAGGAGAATAAAACAGACCAATGATACAAAGATGAGAGCTACATGTGCTGAGAGCTTTGGCCCGAGCATCCCAAGATGGTATCCGAAAGACAGCATGCAGGATAAGTCCATAGGACAGAATGATAAAAAACAGATCAAATCCCACAGATGCTACAATAACCATGAGGCCATAGACAATGTGGTCAGAGATGTCTCCACAGGCGATCAGAACCACAGCCATGTAGGCACAGTATGAATAAGAAATAATGTGAGTTTGAAAGCTTTCCAGTCTTCTTACCAGGATAGGTGCTGGGGTCAGCACTGCCACTGCCCTTCCCAGGATAGCTAGTGCCATCTTCACAAGCATGCTGTGAGCAAGGATGCTTGTATATCTCAGAGGTTGCCAGATAGCCACAAATCTGTCAAAAGCCATGGCCAAGAGGATTCCAGACTCCATGACATAAAAGGAAGGGATAAAAAACATCTGTGTGAGGCAGGCATCAAAGCTGATTGCCTTAGCATTCATCCAGAAGATGCCCAGAATGCGGGGTACAGTGACGCTGACCAGGCACAGGTCCACGACTGATAGCATGGCCAAGAGGAGAAACATGGGCTCATGAAGACTCTTCTCCATCCGGATGATACTTAAAATAGTGACATTGGCAATGATTGCAATGACAAATACCAAGAAAAACGGCACTGAGAACCAGACATGGAAAGATTCCAGGCCAGGAATTCCAGCCAGGACAAATACCAATGGCCGTGGAATGGAATTGTTGCAAGAGGACATCCCAAACTTGATCTTCTCAAAGTCTGTTTCCTAGATATAAAGAAACAAGTGACATTTTGAAATCATTTCCACCTACAAAATGTCAAATGTTACAGTAGTTTATGGTGATAATCATGATTAATTTTTTTAATTTTAATTTTAAAATTTACTATCAATTGCATGTACCAGAGAGACAGAGAGGGAAATTTAGAAAGCACCTTCCAGGGGAAATGGCTGTACTGTAGTCCCTTTCCTTCATTCTCCTCTTGGGATTTAGGGCAGGCACAAGCACCTGGAGGGTTTTTCAAGTCACCAGGTCCAGGTCTGGACTTGTGGGTTCCAGTGCCTTAACCACCATCCCACCTGCTGACCCTAATAATAATGATTATATTATGTAAATCAATGATCAAATGAGTGCTTCAACTATTTCCAGTGGGGTGGAGGATAATCCTAGGTTACTCTCTCTGCAAGAGAAAGAAGCAGTCTCAGGAATAAATTCTCAGTAGAGATATATCAGACCTACAGCTTCTCCTGTAACCCTGGTTCATTTAACATTCAATATTTGCAATCTTCCAGGATTTTTTTTTCTTTTTTCTTTTTTTTTTATTTTTTGAAGAGGTTTTTGCTATAGGGAGTGTGCGATCTTTAGACAGAGACAGAGAGATAGAAAGCAAGAAATCACCCCCCAGAGGAGATGGCCACGCCGCAATCCCTTCTCCTCTATTCTCCTTTTGGGATCTTGGGCATGCACGCACATGCGCCCAGAGTGAGTTTAAGCCACCGGGTCCGGGACTCGAACCATGGTCAAATATGTGGGAGTCCAGTGACATAGCCATTACGCTAAATGCTAATCCCAGGATTTTTTTTTTTTTTTCTAATTAGCATTACCCAGTAGAAGACTCAATGTTTTAAACATGATACACAGGAGTTTTGGATACAAAGAAGCCAGAAAGCATAGTTTCTAGATAAGAAAGCTAAATTTCATTACACCTGAGTTCCCAGTTTTTGGGATTGGATTGGGGCTTTAGGATTCTTCTTGAAATGTTTGTTACATATTGTTGATTTTGACAAAGGACCCAAATACACTACCAAACTTATGCCTAGAAAGCATGGTGGTTCTCTGAAAAAATAACAAATGTTTTGGATAACAAAAGTGGAATCCAAAATCCTCAATAGATAATAATTTAGTGCTAAAATTCTAGATTATTCAATAAAGACTGTCTGGGAGTGGATAAAGGTAAAGGTGAATGAGTGATATTCTATGTATACATTGTGTGCTTTTAAGAGGAGTATAGTTTAGGAGTTAATGATAAGTCACATTTTTATAAAATCTAAGCTTATATTTATGAGATATTTTCATCTACATAAATATTTTGAATAAAACTACATATTTACAAATATTTGGTGAAAGTCACAGATTAAAGAGTATATGTAACAAACACATTAAAAGCTGAAATCAATAAACAAATACATCATAAATATAAAATTAAAGCTATAGAATAATAACTTTGTGTTAATTTAACTATTAAAATTTAAAGCTCACTATTAATGTTTTGCAAGAAACATTACACTATTTAATATTCATAAAACATAATCACAAAAAATTACATTTTAATAAAATATTAAAGAATGTAAAGTGTATTCCAATGTTGGTTTAAAATTAAAAGTTGTGTCTTAAGATTTTGCTTTAGTTTCTGATGAAATTGGATTAGTCATCATTTTATTTATATCTGTATTAATTTAGTACCATGTTCTAAATTAGTGTGTTTACAAACTATTTTTAATGTTAATTTTATATTTTTTAGTATCTTCTAAAAGTTATGTCTTTATTAAGCCAGAATCCCATCCTTTAAATCAAAAATAAAAGTACAATTAGTCATGGATCCTGTAAGCTCTTGATGCTTCAATTTATGCTTTAATTTACTCAAGTAAAATAAAAATAAGGTGATTTTCACCTATAACTTGCATTGGTGATAACACACCACAGCAGCAAGATAGACAGATCTGAAAAAGATGTTGGTATAGTGAAAATAGCAAGATCTTCAGGGTAATACAAGCATAAGATACAATCTTGATGCTGCCATTTATTCTATGTGACTTGACCAAGTAACTAGACTTTGAACCTCAATTCTTGCTCTCAAAAGAAAGGATGAGACCTATTTTGCAGTGTTGTATAATACAAATATTGCACCTGGCATAATTCATTCACTATTTTGGTACTTTAGAAATGCAAAGTGTCTTTATTGTCTATGAAAAATTTCTGCAAAATTTGTCAGCTATTTTAAAAATATTTTTTTTCTTTGTTTCTTTCTCGGCAAAAACTATGGTTAGGTTGATGAATAACTTTAAAGTGAATATTTGACAGCCTTGATAATTTTATCTTCAAATATTTTTAGAATCATTATGTGATAAAGAGGAAAACTTTTAGTGTCACCAGAAGTCAATATATGGCCAAATAAAGAATTTTAAAAAGTTAAAAGGGGGGACCAGCAGTTAGCGTAATGGCTATGTCGCTGGACTCCCACATAGTTGACCACGGTTCGCGTCCCGGACCTGGTGGCTTAAACTCACGCCGGGAGCGTGTGCGTGCGTGCCCAAGATCCCGAGAGGAGAATGGAGGAGAAGGGATTGCAGCGTGGCCATCCCCCCTGTCTCTGTCTGTCGGTCTGGAGAGCGCACGGGCCCTATAGCAAAAAACCTCTAAAAAAAAAAAAAGTTAAAAGGGTGTATTTCAGTTGAAAAAGAGAAAGGAACCTGTCATAAAAATCTGCTCCAAAATAGAAAAGAAGTTCTGTGAAATCACTTTCAGTAGTTTTAGGTAGAAACTAATGATTACTATTATGAATAATGTAGATGAAAATTCTCCATGTGGTGGTGGCATCAAGATATTACTGGAATTTTAAATAAGAAATACATTTATTATTTTCTAAAGAAAGCATCTGGACACTTAAAAAATTGCAGAATCTGACAATGACTTCACAAGGGTCAGTGAATGTGGTGATGTGGATAAAATGGTTTGAGTTTACAGCCTTACCACCCTGAATGCGCCCGATCTCGTCTGATAAAATGGTTTGAGAATCTCTTTTTCCTGAAGAATTTTTTTTTCTCATCTTAGCATATTCTAGTTTTCTCTCTCTTTGTTTCCCTTTTCTTGGAGTAGTACCTGCAGATGGTTGGAAATCCCGTCACAGTGAGCCTGGAACAGGTAAGGCAAGCGTTTTCTTGAGTAACAAGGAGGATCTGTTGATTTCCAGAATAACATGAAGTGTCTGAGCTTGAGGTAGATTTAAGCTGGCTTGCCCTGGCCCTCCTGGGTCCCAAGTGGCCTAGTATTTGCCTGTGTATCTCTTAGCTTGGATAGTCTAGGGAACACATTCTAGCACTACTCACTGAGGATAGTGCATGCAAATCAGAAGGAATGGTTTGGAGTGCTATAACACTAACTGTTGACATAAGGCAGAAAGGTGGATGGTAGGTTTTTGAACTCATGTAGGAGCCAGAAAATCATTCAAAATGAAAATTAAAGAAGTCAAGGGTAACAAAAAGGATATACTAAAGCCAGAATTTCTTGCAAATTAATTATGTACACATTGCTATAGATTGCTGCAATAGCAAAAGTTAAAATCATTTTCATTTCCATTGACCTTGGGGCTTCCATAAGTAAAAGCTGTACTGAAATTATGGTTTTGGTTTCCTAAATGGAATTAGGATTTACAGAAAGCCAGAAGAAAAATATATACTAATTGAAATATTAACTAAATTTAAATCATTATAGATAAATAAAATAGATGAAAAGAAACATAGACAGGAGGATTAAAATATAGAAAGAGATACTCTAGAAAAAATATTGCACACTTCTACTAGATTGTAGAGAGACTAATTTTCAGAAAGATTCTTGGCAAAAGTCAGAAGTTCAATTTATGAGTAGACATAAAAGAAGGGAAGAAAAGTGTTGAGACCATTTTGTGTGAGAATATGGTGAAGGTTAACACTCTGAAGATATTTGGGCTGTGTTTGTTCTGTTTTTTCCCAACTGCTTGGCAAAGTATAGGTTTTCAGTTTTACTTTATATGAATAAATATGCCTACACACACACACACACACACACACACACACACGTTTCATCTATTAATCACTACAGAATCTAGGCTTAAAATATTGCCAAGGGTGAGTGACAGTCATGATCAATGAACTTGTCAAAGTATTTAAGTCATATCCCTCAGCCAGAATGTCAAGGACACTAAAATCAATCTAAGTCTTCCCCTTGGGATTGATATTAACCTGGACCGAGTTATTGTATTAATGTTTTACAAAACTTCATAGTCTTTTGCAAGGCCTACTGCATTCATTTCTTCCATTTCTTTTCTCAATCCTGTTTCCTTCAAGGCAGCCACGATACTCTTTTCTTTC